AGCCATGGAATTGAAGATTTTGTTCATCACAGTCTTGTTTCTTGGGGCCAGTGCAGCATTTTCTCTACGAGAGGAGCAGGAAGGTAAACAAGCAGAATCATGCATCAGAAAAGTTTTTTTTTTTTTTTTGGCTTTTTCTTATTTTTGTATCTTTTGATTTAGAGTTTTCTTATAATTAACATTTGCCATTCCATTCTCCGCAGATGCTCTAAATGAATATGAAGGTGAGTTGACAACGAGTCTTGTCGTCTCATTGTCATTATTCTTTCCTCCTTTTAAAATTATAACTACTTCTAATACTAAGTATGTGTCTGTGGCATCGGCTAGGCTCTTTCTGTATGCTGGGCAATAAAAAACCACAGTCCCGTTTGTGAAATTTGGCCACAAGTGTTACCCGGCGTTTATTTCCAAACAAAAGATATTGGAAAGGTCTTGAATGCTTTCCAATGGGAAACATGCAAATTATTCTCACACAGAGGCGAGAAAGGCAACGAACTTGTCTTCGCTCGCAGTTTGGACCGGAGAAGGTCAGGAAAAAAAAGAAAAGGATTGAAATCAAGCGGTTCGCCTAGCTTAAGATCACCGGTACGGCGACACCCCGAATGACAGGAAGTTTCCTAACCTGGGACATTTCTTTTCTGAAAAAAAAACATCCGAAATCAAAAGCTCAAGAATGAATTTCAAAAGATTAACAGAACTGCAAAGAAAGCTAGAAACTACATCTCATTTTTTGATAATCACACATTCAATTCGTTTGTAGTGTAGTGAGTAACTCCATTTTGTTATTTACTTTGCAGCTCAAGAGCTCGAGGAAATGAGCAACGATGAAGCAGAATATGGTAAGTTATCATGAGCTTTATAACTTAAATTAGAAATGACACCATGGAACCGTTAGCATAACCCTGAAAGCTTAACAACATTAACCTTACAGAATTCAAAGTGAAACAATATTACAAGATCAAAGACACTCTAAACTGAAACTACGATGAGAAAAAAAGTGATTCCTACACTGTTCTTTGAGCGATAACATCAACATTAATGTCATGGTCAGCCTAATGAGAACAATACAAGAGTACCTGTCTTCCTTTCTTTACGCACCTTGGTGTGTTTGGGTGGCATGTATAGAATTCCAAATATATTATTAGATTGCAACTTATTTATCGTATTGTTTTACTTCTACGTTTAGATCTGGAAGACCCAGCCAAAGGTTAGTACAATAACGCTAATACATCGAGTACTGTATATTAAGGCTATATATTGATCTTTCCACATTCCTTTCGAAGTAGAAAACGCTAGGTACCAAGAACTCATATTTGTCAGCGTGGGTCTAATCCATTCGCAACAAGTAGCTCTTGCCATTTTCTGGCGTCATTAGTCATTTGACAAGAACTTAAGTGAAATCAAGCATAGAATGCAATACCCAGGTACTATTACGTGATCATGAGATTAACCCAGCTCTCCCCCCCCCCCCCCCCCCCCCCCCCCCCCCCCCCCCCCCCCCCCCCCCCCCNAGTGGTTGACGCCGTCGGCGGCGTTGGCTTGTGTCCGCCAAGTACACTACACAAAAAAGTGCAAACCATGTTAAAAATCGAACTTAAAGGTCTGAATATAGGGATCTATCAATTGATAATTGATGTTCTTCTGTTTTGCTTCAGGTCGTAAACTTCTCTGCCCAAAACTGTTTGTCCGAAGGTGCTACATAGTCAAATACTGCTATCGTTACTTACGCATTTGTCGCTGTGTTCCATTTAAAAAATATGGGGACGAGACTGGATTTGACAATCGATTGAATGACGAAATGCTTGAAACCCCAGAAGGTGAAGCAGAGAACTTTGATGAAATGAGTAAGTCGACTGTAATTCCTGTGCATTGTAGCAAATGATTCAGGGAAAATAAAGCATCATTCTTCTCTTTTCGAGTACACGTAATTACAGGTCACTCAAGCTTCTATACTGTATCTTCTGGAATACCGACGCATAAAGAGACAACTAAAAGTCACATTTATTTTTGTCGTTACCTCAGGTCAAGAACTTGAAGATCCCTCAAAGAAAGGTTAGTACACGATAATAAAGCAAGTACTTTAGCTGCATCCGAGGGCTTTTTGTTGCCATGCTAAATCTATAGTTTAGGATTATTACAAAACCCTGACACTTTCTGACTGCAGGTCTTTATCGTGAAGTATTAATATTTTACCTGCTCTATTTTTTATTTTATTATTATTAGTATTATTATTTTTTGGTGTTGTTGTTGTTGTTGTTGTTTTACTTGCTATTATAAATCAAGTAGATGTTGCACATGGGAAACAAATGTTTTCTCACAAAAATGCTCCAAGATCTTTTAAGTAAAGGATTCCTAGTGTGGAATTCAATTCACCGGAACTTAAGAGCATTCCTCCCCCCTCCCTCTCTCCGCTTTCTCCATACCTTCCTTCATCATTTCTTTCATTCGCACATTACTTATCTACAAACTAACTATTGTTTTGTATTTTACAGTTCCTAAACCTAAACCTCCAAAATGTCCGAAAAAGTTGATCCGAAAATGTTTCCTAGTTAAATATGGAAAAAGCCGACGAATTGTTTGTTCTTGCGTTAAACGTTGCCCATATCATTATGGAGACGAGAGTGAAAACGACTATAAAGTAAGTGAACAACCCAACAAAAGATACAGGACATGATCAACTTCTAACTTTTGATTGCATCATAATTATTTTTAAAGCACGCAGGCAAAGTTCAATATAATACACGTTAGTCCCTAATCAGACAACGGCAACAACAAAAACCTTTCTTTTTCCCCGGAGCCTACGAAAGACTAAAGAATTGGTTCATGCCTAGCGTGCGTATATCGAGTTACGGATGCACGCGGCACGTTTGGAGAGCACGAGAAGAGCGTAAGCTTTACTCGAGGCCCAGTCGAGGGAAACTCTAGCTTCTTGAGTGCTCTCCAAACTTTACAAGTGCACCCATAACTCGATATATGCACAGGTAAAAGCATGAAGCAATTCTTTTATAACATAGCGACAACAACTTGGGCACTAAAACATGTTTTATTTTTGATTGACTACAAAGTTCTCACAATGCACGGTGAAGGAAAACAAAGGATCCTATTGGCTACTTAAAAATACGCCACAATCAGTCGAGCGACAGTTGAACGAAAGCGCTTCATCAATGAAAAATTCGCTTACGTTCGCAAACAAAATTAAAAATACTCAATGAAAATAGAGACAAAAGTCAAAATACTCAATTTTCGGCAAACGCCTTAGCTTGGCAAAAGTCAAAGGCTCCAAGTAGGGTTTGGATTGTTTAGAGTGATGTTCATATTGCCGTCACTTTAACAAAGGGAACTAGCAGCTAAACTCGACGGAAATCTTGCAGCTACAATAAAACTGCACACGTCATGTTATTTACTCACGGCCGTGCGCAAAAAGAAATTTTTACCATGCATGATGGCTCAATAGAAATTAGATAAGAACAGCGTGCGCGCTATGTTATAAAATGACCTTTTCAATACGAAAATAAATTGCAGTTTATTTACAAAAAGAAACAGGGGTACTATCTACCTGAAAAAATCTTAGGATTAAAAATGCCAAGCAGCCAGTTGAAACAAAAAGGTATTTTGCATGTTCAGGTCGGGCAAACAAAAAAAACAAAAAAAACAACAACAAAATAGACACAGACGTGAAAATAGGAATAAAAATAATCCAGCCTAATAAAAGTCAATAATTAGTAAAAGCGTAGCTTTTTTTACAAATGACATGTTCGAACACGTAATTTCTATAAGACGAGAGGATTTATTGCTATTTTTAAGTGCAAGGCGATATCGTTGCTAACCAACCTTTCCATCATGTTTTGAGGATAGATTTCACATGTGCCATTTGGTATGACATGACCTTTTAACATGTATCTTTCTCTTGATACAGGTTCCTCAGTATTGATATGTTCGATAAAAGGACAGGACGCCCAATGATGCTTTAGTGCTAGGTTAAGTGCGAAGAGAGCGATAATTAGAAAACATTGTAATAGTAATGAAAGCTTTGCAATAAAATTGGGATTACGGTAAAATACTCTTTTGTTCGTTTTTGTTTCCTGTGACTTCACCCATCGAAACATTTGAATGTTTTTTTCTAGCTTTGAGGCACCTCTTATTTAACATGAGAAGAAAATATTTCCTTTAATTTATTCGTTTGGTGGGTCTCTCGAAGATCTCTCGATGGTTGATGTGGGAATGCAGTAAATTATTATTTTTTGGATAAAATCTACAACACGAGGACCTCGCTGACATGGTCCTAGCTTGCTAGGCTATAGCAGATAAACCCTGCAGACCCCTTTAAAACTCTAATAAAAATTAACAAAGGACATGTTCACGTCCACGTCTACTATCCCAAAATCCTATCAAGCTTGTCACCTAATTAATTTTGTTTTAGTGCGCGATAAGTGTAAAGTGTTGACTGTTGTCAACCACCTAAATTACGCCATGGCCTGTCAGTATCAATATTTTTTAGACTCTAGAGATATGTTTGAGACTTAAACAGAAAGTTAAGTGCTCGAAAATAACGATTCACCCATTACTTGTACAGCCCGTATAGTTGTGCGTAAGCCACTCGTATACTTAAACAAATGATTAATGTAAGCAGTCTTATCGACTGGATTAGACCCAAAAACCACACTTGCATGTAAGCCTCTGATGGGTCTATTTCACTTGGCGTCATCGCCTCACGTGGTCTTGAATGGATTCAATATACTTCAAACCTAACCCTAAATCTTAAACTCAAACCCTAAAGCACTAAAGCCTAAACCTTAACCCTAACCCGTTTGATATCATATCACGAGACGATTGATTGACACTGTTGTAACAAAAAGGTGTCAAGCTTGAAAGGTTATATACACAGGGTTTTAATCTGCCAAAAATAAAGTTTAGTGCAAAATTGGTGGAAATAAAGGTGGCTTTCATGTGGCAAATGTCGTTTTGAGTAGTTTGGAGCCAATTTAGCTGATAACTGACAACAAAATTGTCTAGAATTGTCCAAAAATCTCCGGGTCTCGGCCAATGGGTTAGGCAGTGTACCAAGGCATTCGGATTGTTCAGTGGAGTTGCTAAACCTATTTTCCATTGTACAGGTAAACACATGGTCCCCGATATCACAGAACTCAGAACACTTGCGCTAGAATGATAAACAGTTTCCGCGTTCAGTAGCTAAGATAGCAATAATACGAAAATCTTTTAATTAACATATAAATGGAAACTGTCAAGGAAAAACAGCACCAAAACACTCGAGTTAAGAAGGACGTTTTAAGTGGTTTTAGTGCTTCCCACAGTCTGTAGAGGACGCATTTCTGACTAAAGCTGGGCTAGACTGATCTTCATTTGAGTTGTTAAAAAAGAGGAAAAAAATTATTTCGATTTAACATGAAGCTCCTCAACAGTCTTAAGTTAAATTAAGCTCAATACACGCGCAATACGTTAAGCGTAAATAAATTTGGTTTCCGCTGACCTTCCAAGTAACTTTTGAAAGTCATTCAATCGCGTATGAAGCGTATGAAGTTTATACTACTTGCAAACCTTTTCTATTCTTTTTTACTTTCGTGACGGCCAATACCGGTCACAAATCCCAGAATTTCCCTGTCAAAGTACTTTTGAATTAATGAACAAACTTTCTGCCTTACACCAATAAACGTTTCCTTTTCTTTTATAAAAGTTTTGATTGTGCTTACTGTTTTCGTTGCTTTGCCCGGCGGGTTTAGTGTGCGGCGCTGAGTCCGTGATTTGATTCTTTCAGTCGCCATGATTGGTTTGCCGCGTCATCCCATGAATTTGTTGAGAATAGGCAACTTGATCACGACAGTACAATACATTTTCTTTTCTTTGACAAACTTTTTCCATAATTATGTAATAAAAGCAATAGACCACTCTTTCTATGGCCAATTAGTAGTTCAATAAACCCACTTGGGATGTTGGGAGAACACTCGAAAAGCTTGTAAATAACGCTCGTAATTTACAAGCTTTTCAAGTGTTCTCCCAACATCCCACGTGGGTGTATTGTGCAGGTAATCCATAGAAAGAGTAGTATATTGCTTAAATAAAGAACTAATTTAATTCATCACTAAGTAGTAAGCGCAATACAAAAACACTGCTGTGGTCCCAACCACTCTTTAACTGACAATTAACGAACTGTAGTGTTTCTTTCAACGAAATATATTTCATTTAACAATGTAGAAGCGTTCCTAGATATCAAGAATCGCAGAGGTCTTGCAGGATCTCCGAAGGATGACCGTAACGACAGTTTTACGTCGCTTTTCTTCCGCAGTTTTTAGATAGTGTGTTTAGCAACTAATATTGTTGGTCCAGTACATCATTTGGCTATTATTGACTGGATTAATTATATATAACGCATAAATGAAACTGAAATGAATAGTTTTAGCCTAATATAAAGCGACTCTCTGTATTCAGTAATTTAGAATTCTTGAGTTCGACAAAAAATAGAAAACTCACCAATCACTAGCTATTTTCCGGCTCGTTCTTTACTGATTTTTAAGAACGCAAAGAAATAGAGAATTAGTTTCTGGATCTGAAATTTCTCTTAAAAAATTATGCGGGATGGTGTCGTTGCTGAAATAGAAGCTTGGTATAAAATGGTTTTATTATCTTGCAATGGAAAGAAAAAAAAAAACGCTAGCAATGCTAAAAGCAAAAAAATATATTAAGTAAAAAGACTCAAGATTTTACTGACCAGTATGGCAATTTCGATTCCTTGATATTCTGTTTTAAAGTTTTGGTGAACTTTAATCTACTTCAAGGCATCCTTGTGATCCAATGCACTTCTTACCTTAAGTACTTCTTCTAATTTAATTTGCTGTGTGGCATGTTTATAACTAGTGCTCATGTCGTCTACATTGGGTGGCATTCGACAATACAATATGGTATTTAAAACAAAATAACTTTCGATAATCAGTCAGGACAGTGTCCATTCAAATGTTGACTGCCCCAATTATATGAAATATGTAAAAAAGAAACGAAGCCACCCTTGTGGATTAATACGAGAGGAAGAAAGCGGGGAATTCTTTCATACAGTCGTGATTTAAAAATATCTTGCTTTTTGTCATACAACAATCATATCAATGCAATATTCGCACCAAAAGTGCTTGATGCGACAGTTAGAAATGAAATTTTCGTGGCATTTTCTGTTATTAAACTATGTTTATATTCTCTATGGGAAGTTTAGCGTTTTACGCATACGAAGAGGATAGTGGCATTGTGGGCAACAGAAGAAGTTATTATTAATCAAATTTACGTATAATCCTAGACTATAGATAACCACGAGAGCTGCGGTCAAACAAAATTGCTTGCTATGAGCGATTGCTATGAAGATAAAAATATATTTTGAGTGGACACTGGGTGCAATCCACTGCTTCTGGTTGTTTCCTTGATGTGTTATATCGTGTAACTTTTCATATTGAATTAAATTAAAATCCTAAAAATATTGCCCACTTATAGACGTTTCGTCACAAATAGACTAGAATTATCGTTAATCCTGTCACTCATTCACACTCTTGGCAATCATTGTCCTTTGAATTTTAGATGACGCATTTGAATGCCCCCCCCCCCCC